AAAGCTCTGATGTACAGGGTGTTTCCCCGAAAAAAACTTTAGAGGTTTGGCCTGTGGACTTTTTCCGCGTTTTTCGCTCAGATGCACTTTGAGGTTTTTTCGTCAAAATCTGGGGTTTTGCACAACGTTTTCGCTGATAGAGCTAGTCTAGACGAGTGGCCCAAGCTGGCAACACCGGGCCCTTTGAATCCAGACGCCCTCCACCCTCCCAGAGCTCAGTGATTGATTGGGTGACAGCCAAGAGTAGAACAACATCAAAGTGGCGGTTGCATTCATACTTTGCGCCATCTTTGCGCCCAGCGCCCCCTGATTTGTATCCGCTCGAACACAGTCGATCAATCAGAGGCCCGTCCAGCCAAGATTTATCCCCCCCACTCCATCACTGGTGCCAACATGGAGAAACAGAGGCGAGAAGTTCGCGTGATTCTCTCTATCAAGCACTTGAAGGAATGGAGGGAGGGGATGGTGTCGCCCCCCCACCCCCCACCCACCTACTGCTTGGAAATTATGATTTATTGTTGCTTCCACTAATGGAAGACGCATAGAGGTTGCATTAATTGGATTGGGCCGATCGGCTACTTACGTGTTGAGCTCGAGGTCCAGCCGGAACTTGTGATTGAAGGCCTTGATGAGAAGGGAGGTGCGGTGAAAGTGCTTGCCGGTCTGCAACAAATCGGAGAAAGTGCAATTAATTTCGTTTTAAAATAAAATAAAATTTAAAATTAAATAATGTTTAGTTTGGGTGTTTTACTGGGGCTGCCAGCATCTGAAGCCGTTGGGTAACGTTTCGGTGACTGGAGCCCGGGCGTCCTCAGGGCGGGAGATTTTAGGGCTGGGTGGGCGCAAGTGTGGGCTTTCCAGTGGTGTAACTGGCGTCGATGGGGCTGCTCCCGTTGGGGAGAAAATAATTTTTGAATGTCTGCGTGCAACTCTGGGATCTCCGATGCTTCATCTGAGTCCCCTGGGTTGAAAAATTCGCTGAAATTTGGGGGGTTTTTGGAAAAATTTGAAATTTTGCTGAGTGGGAGGAGAAAATGCCGGTATTCCTAGGAGTAGAGAGCCGTTTTTGCAGCTAGAGCATTGGGGGAGTAATTTGAGGTGAAAAACTAGGCTGGGAGGTGTGAGGCTGCACCAGAAGGTTTGAAGCCGCAAGTTTAAAATTTTGCCAAAAATCGCCCAAAAACGTCACGATCCGCAAATTTTACCCCCAGATGGCGCCCATTCCCCCCTTTCCAGTCGTGTCATCCCCATGCTTCTGCCTGCTCTAGTTTGGAAGCAGCGAATTTTTGAATATCGACATGTCATTTTAAGGTTCCACCAGGACTCATCGGCACCTGGACGCTTAAAAATTCCTCAAAATTTCTGGGGTTGCTGCACGCCACTGCGGGTTTAGGGAGTTTGTTGCTAAATTCACGCCCTTTCCAGTGGCGTGCCAGAGTTTTTTCCACCAGGCCCTAACACCGGGAAATTTAATGTCAAAAATTAACTTGCAAAATTTTGGGCCCCAACGCGCAGCTGCAGCCGGAGGCGTAAAGTTCAGCAAAAACTCGCCTGGCGGCGCTAAGGGTGTGAAAATTTCGGAACCCATGGCGCAAAATGTGCCCCTTTCAGACAACGGTGGAAATTTTTCGAAAAATGTTGCCTAAAATGTAAAATAAAATGCCATTCAGTTGGGGTGGTTGACTGGGACTGCAAGCACCTGAAGCCGTTGGGTAACGTTTCGGTGACAGCAGCCTGGGCGTCTTCAGGGCCGTAAATTTTCAGAATGTGTGGGCCAAAGTGTGGGCTTTCTGCGGCTGTTACTGGTGTTGCTGGGGCTTCTCCGGTTAGAGAGGAAGGAATTTTTGAGTCTCTGTGTGCAACTTTGGGGTTTTGCAAGGGGCTTTGCCTGCATAGGTTGGCTGAAAAATTCACCAAAACTCCTAGGAATCGGGAATAAACTTGCGATTTTGCAGGTTTGTAGCCGAATGGGCGCCCTTTAAACTGGGGTACCAGCGGTGTTGCCAGCTGGTTCAGTTCTGGAGCAGTTTAGTGCGAAAAATTGAGTTGCACAGCTGGAAGATTCACGCGAACATTTGCCGCCCGACGGGTAAAATTTGGCGAAAAATCGCCCAGAATTGGCAATTTTAAGACGAGTTGGCACTGCAAAAGAGGAGGCGTTGTTTCACAACCCGCAAAGAGCTGAAAAACTTCCTTTAAGGGGCTGCTTGGTCGGTTGGCGATCGAAAATCCCCAAAGTTAACGAACCTCCAGCAGCCCCAGAATGTGGTTGAAAATTTTCGTCCAGTTGCAGGTTTGAAGGGCGATTTTTCGGCCAAACTGTTTGCTTCAGTTACTGAAGACTTTGCTGCGGGTTACTAACGAATTTAATCAGGCGAACAGCTTCAATCCAGGTTATTTGGGGGCGCTGATGCCCTAAGAAGGGCCAGTCAAAGAGCGAACAATGTTCCAGCAGGAATTCGGGCGGCCGCACGATAATTAAAGCTTTGCGCAAATATCGGCCTGTCTGAAGACTAATTGAACCTCTCCGACTCACCGTTTCGAGCTCTTTTGCCTCGAGGTTTAGGTAAAATAAAAAAAAAATCCAAACGTCAGTCTTTTCCAGGGTTGTTCAACGCAGAGCCATTTTTTCCGCGATTGAATGCCCAAACATTAAATCTGTTTCTAATCGAAATTCCCCCGTAGGTCGGTTAAGTTGAATAACTGCGGGAATATTGAAGAAGCACTAAAAAGACCGAAACTTTCTGATTCGGTCAGTTTTGGCAACTTGAAAATTCCGGTTTATTCGGCGAGTTTTGAGAAAAAAAAGTGTTCTTCGTTCCAAAATTAAAAACATTCTGATCAAATTCGCCTGTAGATCCCTTATCGTAAGAAACTCCGGGAAGATTGAAGAAGCATTCGAAGGGCCGAAACTTTATGATTTGACGAGTTACACAAAATTGAAGATTGACAGTAAACTCGGCGAGTTTTGAGCAAAAGAGTGTTTAAAGTTTCAAACTTAAAAAGTAACCAACAATTTCTTCTGTAGCTCGGTTAGCTGGAGTAACTCCGGGATAGTTGAAGAAGCATTAGAAAAGTCGAAACTTTTTGATTAAGACAG